CAAACAGTAAGAGAAGCAAATATTTTTGTTGATTAATTTAACCATGCATATTTATGACGATTATCTGGTTCTGCACTGCAGAGGACAGTAAAGGACGATGCCAGGCCAATTAATAGCTTGTACTTGAGCTGTCAAAACCTGAAGCCCGGGCGTTCCTGATGTTTAACTTCAAATTTGTATCCAGGATATCTGCAGAACACAGATAATACACACACATGACAGTAAAATCTCTCTTATTCATTAATACAATATAAGTTCTTCAGTTTTTTATAAAATATATTAAAAATAATATAGAAATTTGCACCCAAGCTATTGGTTAATAGTTGATAAAAAGAGATAAGGACATTTCTTCTAAAAAATTTTTAATTTAATCCGTGATTAATTTATATTCATTCTAATTAATTGATTCTGCCAATTTACTTGTTGCATATAATGCATATATTTATCTACCATTTATTTTGTTCTGAAGAAAAGCATATGAGCTCCCATTTATGTAAATTATTTATATAAATCTATTTGTACAATAATTTTGATAATAATAATCATTATATCCGGGATAATTTTATGTCGCGATCGCTGAAACGAGAAAATTTAATGTAAAAATGCATGATCGAATTATCGATCAGTATTGAAAAACGGCTTGTTAGTTCGAGTTGAATCACCTCGTAAGAAACCATCCCCAGAAGTTTCCCAGGTGTCAGACGCTTCCTGTGTTCCTTTCTGCCTCTATATATCGATCCTAAGCACCCTGCACCCCTTCCTCTTGTGCCACCGACTGTTATCCCTCTCTCCCTCTCACTCTCCTATGATCCCGCCTCTTTACCACACTGTAACTTTCTCTCTCGCTCGCTCGCAAACTGAATCTATGGGGTGGTTCATAACTGATTTCGTCTCCTGCATCTTCTTTTAACCATTCCGTTACTAATTTTGGAGTATAAATCAATATTTTAATGAATTTATTTGGATTCAAATGTAAAAAGCAAAAAAGATGAATAACATTCGTTTTAATAAAGATAAAAACACTTTTGTTGAAAAACAACAAAACACAAAACTATCTTTATAGGAATAATCCAACTTTTCTTAAAAGTATCAAAAATATCAAGCACTGTAGATGCTATATTCAGGTTTAATGGATCACCCTGTATAGTTACACTTTGCCCCTACAAGTAGCCCTCCTCATGGTAGCTCACGCCATGACGCGGGTAATTTTCCTTGCATATTTATACACGTGCCTCATCTAGAGAAGTGCCTCCGTTATACTCCTTCTCTCTCTCTCTCTCTCTCTCTCTCTCTCGCTCGCTCGCTCGTTCCCTCTCCGAAAGAATTAACTGCTACGTTTAACAGATACTACAATGAAGAGAAATTCTTCCTTTTTTCCACAAATCCTCCCCTACGAAAGCGAAAAGATTCGTTTACAAGATCAAGATGAAGCTATTTCCGCTCATTCGAGGAATTTAACAAATCGTTTTCTAATACGTTTCATGCTTTATTACAATATGCAACAAAAGATTGTTTGGAAATATTAATATAGAGGTTTATTAGTTTATTAGAGGAAATATTAATATCAAGATGATATTGTTTAAAATATAACAAATCTTAATGTAAGAAATGCAATTCAAACACAATACTTAACTATTTATATAGTTATGAGTTATCTATATTATGTCACTGATATTAAATTTGAAAGGAAGCTATAAAATAGAACTCTTTAGTTAATTGAATTTACTAAACGATTAATTAGTACAGAAAGAGATCCGACAGACCCTTACAATCTCTTTATCTCGCCTAATTCTACTATGAATAATACATAATATCCACATGGTAGCGAAAACTTTACATCCTTTACATCCAACACAAACTTTTGATCCTATTACTAGAAAATATCACGAAATATTGATCACATATCATCTCAATGTCTCTAATTTTATATTAAATAAATTTAATCATTTACAGTTTTAGTTGCAATAATCCGAAGGGATTACGCACAGCGATTTTTAAATTAGATCTCGATTTTTAACGCATTATTATCCGGAAGCGAAATTAACTACTTTATTTTTTTACTTTTATATCAAATAATTGTTTTACAATAATTGTTTTATAATAAATCGAATAAAATTATTAATCAAAGAACAATCCTTTCCATTGCAATAAAGATGAAAGTAGTTTAGGTCCATCTAACAAGGAAAGTTTCACAACTGTCTGGAACCGATTTGATTCTCCATGAAATATGTTGTTAAACACGAAAATCTAAGAAACATGTATTTTTTTATACATATGCTAACATATATTTAAGGGGTGAAACACTCCTTTGAAAAAAAAACGGTATTTTTATTTCGAGTCGAATACCGTCGGAAGTATAAAAGATGGAAAAAAAATTTTTGAACAAAAGTTGTACGATTTCAAGAGTACTGCAATGTTGTGAAGAAAAAAAATTTTTTTAATTTTTTGTTAATAATTGTTAAACAAAAAAAATTAAAAAAATTTTTTTTCTTCACAACATTGAAGTACTCTTGAAATCGTACAACTTTTGTTCAAAAATTTTTTTCCATCTTTTATACTTCCGACGGTATTCGGCTCGAAATAGAAATACCGTTTTTTTTTCAAAGGGGTGTTTCACCCCTTAAACATGAGTTGGCGCACGTATAAAAAAGAACGTATCTTTTAGATTTTTGTGTTTAACAACATATTTCATGGAGAATCAAATCGATTCCGGACAGTTGAAACTTCCCTTGTAAGTCGACAACCCCTTAGCTTCCGTCAGTCAGTTAAAACGTTGACAGTCGAGCGAGTTACATCAATGACAGCGGAATGCAGTTCCGGCATTCCATTTCTGTCGCTGAGGAATCACATTTTATCGTTTGAGACGGAAACGACTCTCTGCATGAGACAACAATATAGCTCCGACTTTGTCGCGAGGTATTATTACTCGTTCCAACTAATAAATGGAAAGTGGTTCGATGTATATTTTAACCACTTGTCAAACTCAATTAAATACACGTGCCGCTAATAAAACAACGAACAAAATACGATTAGTGACGAGTAGGCATCATTATTAATTAAGTAAATAGTACAAATGTAACTTGATAATATTTATTTATACTTTCAGATACATTTTTTAAGACAATTAAAAAATATATAGAATATATAATACGATTAAATAAATAAGGATTTAATAAATAAAGAAAAAGTAAAATTTGCACACTTTGTTTCTATGCAAATGCTTTTTTCATTCACTGTATGAAAAATATTTACATATTATATTTATCTGTGACAATTGTACACTGAAAAAAAAGATTGGCTGACTGTACTGACATTGTGGATAGGCTAACACAACCAAAAATTGACTGATGCAGCCAATTAAAAATGCTATGCCATATTTTACCATCTAATTTGCTGCAGCAGCCAATCTTTTTTTTCAGTGTACAAAAATATCAAAAATGTTGGATATATATGTAGTATATTCTAATAAAATATACCGTCCAAACATTTTTCATTTTGATAAACATACTTCCATTAGATTACAGCATTATTTTTTGTTTGCGTAAAATGATCCTAAAAAAAACAAGATAAAAAATAATTTCATAAATTTGTACCCATATTATACTTATAAGTTATTTTACACATTATATCAAAATTACGCATATAAATATATTGCATATTACTTCCTATATATTATTTATGTATAATGTAACTTTGTGAAACCCAACCCGAGGTAGAGTGCATCACTTTTTAATGAAAGGGTGAGATGAACTATTTAGTGCTTTCTGACTGGGAGATAAAATTAGCACCAGAAAAAAAAGCCGAGCTGTGAACACCCTCGCATGACGGAAAACTCACTCAACCACGAACGAAAGCTCGGACGCGAACCATCGGTGATCGTCATTGTACCGACGGGACGTGGCGGCGATGCCACCCCCGCATATCGTACACTCTGCTACCCCCGAAGGTAGACACGCGGCTGCTCTCTCCGCCACGTTTTCCCGAGCCCAGTCTGACACCCTCCCGTCGCCTTCGGTCGGTGGTGGTTTCCCATGCGCGCAGAGGGTGGAAAGGGTCTTCTCGTTCGCGGGCGTGGGGTTGCGCGCGCACTTTCTACCCCCTCTGTATATCCAGCACATAATCGAACTGGGAGCGCCGTGGTGGCCGTCGTCAGTTCCGTAAGACGGAGCTAAATTTCATTTCTAAAATGAGAACATAGTTTAGCTAAAACGAAAGAAGATAGATGCGATGTAAAAACGTGAAGTGAGGGAGAGATTCTTCGTGAGATCCTCCTCGTCGTGATAAAAAGTTTCGATTTGCAGCCCGGTCTCACAAGCGTAATCACACCGCTTATCGCTCAATTGTAGCGATATCATCGATGCACAAGTGCACGCGGGATAGAGTGATGGTGCGACTTTAGGAAAGGAGGGTGGTCTCTTCTCTTCAAGTTTACACGCGTTCTGCCCGATCTCCGAGCGTGTCTGAGAAATTTTAAAACATCGCCGCCAAGTCAAATTCGTCACTCCGTGAGTGCCAAGCAGGGTGGATATCGTCAACGAGAGTTGAATAGGATTTTGGTAGTAAAGGGTTGGCGGAACGAAAGGGGAACCGTCATAAGGTAGAAGAGCTGCGGCACCGCCACCGACCAAAAGCGGCCAATTTCGTCAGGGCTGAGCTACGTCCCCGACGAAGCAAGGGATTCCACCGTGTGAAATCTCTCCTCGAATCACAATGGCGCCCAATTTCGTGTTTGTGGAATCGTGGCCGGCCACGATCGACTAATGCAACAACAGCAGGCATCTTTGTAAATATAGCCATATACAATATATCCCTGTGTCTATCATCCATACGATGCTCTGCTGATTTAAATGAGTAGACTACACCAGTTAATTGACGTTCCTTGAAACGTCTCTGATAGTCTCCCCAGTATACGGTGAAAGAGGCAATATGAAAAGAATACGCAAGAAGCATCCGCCAAAGATAAAAGAAGATTATGTCAAATTCATCACAGTGATAGTGAATGCAGTGAATTCAGGTGCGTGATGCTCTCGCCTGGGGATATTTAGCGATGTCTTTCATCGCTTCTCGTTCATGAATGTTACTTATCGAAAAATAAAAATCTGGGTTAGTGACAACGAGAGGGATGTATACGACAAGCGATTTACAACAGTTGTCGATTAATTCGAGCGGAAGAGAGGCAACGATCCGACGATATTCGTAAATAACCTGTGCTTGAGTCTTGAAACTTACGCGATGTTCTTCGGAAAGGAATGGACGAATACCGACGATAAACTGACATTTGACATGTATATCGCAATGATTATCTTTGAATTGCTGCCCGAATGAAACTAAAAAAATATACGCTAACTCGAAGACAATTTATTCATTAAGTTATCTTCGAAACATTTTCCGTATTCCATCACAAATCACGACAAGGAGCACGATGTCGCGTGAAATCGCGACAGAACACAGCAGATCGGTACCAAAACTCACAAGAAAGTGATAACGGCGAGCGAAGAGGACGGAAAGTGAGGAAAGATCGTAGTTCAACCCTGTTTGGCCGTTCTTATAAAACAACCCTTCAACCTGGCGGACCAAGAGGAAGGAAGTGGCTCAGCGGCGATGCAGGGCAAGGAGAGTCCCGTTGGGTCCAACACCCAGGAGACCCATCAGTACGTCGGCCCGTATCGGTTGGAAAAGACCTTGGGGAAAGGCCAGACTGGTGGGTGGTGCACGCTCTCCCCCTCTTTCTCTCTCCTCTCTCTCTCTCTCTCTCTCTCTCTCCTCCTCCTCCTCCTCCTCCCTCTATGACAAATCTCCATTGCAATCATTATTGCGATCGACGATAGCCACAGGAATGTCTAATCAAGTCAAGTCAGAATGTTCAATTAAGTTCCGTATATTCGAGTGGATATACGAGATCTTGCACACGCGCTTCTCAGTGACCGAGCTTAAACTCTGTTTCACACCTTTTTAATTGGAAAAGATTAAACTGTTAAAGTTTAAATACGTTGGTCGATATAAATTTGCCGCGAAACTTTCGCAGGACTTCAAGGTTTGCCGCATTGTGATATTATAGAACTCATGTAATTCTCACAGACTGTCTCACTGCCCACGCAAGCTTCCGAAACGAAGATATATTTTTATATCTTTTGAATCTAAAAGAATTGAGAATTCTATTCTCGCAACAACACAACGAGAATAGAAAGAAAAATTTGTAACGGGTACACGGTAGCTAATGCGAGTTATTTCACGGTAATAGAGTGAATTATAGCGGTAATAGGATCAAATCGAAGCCATTTCGCGACAAGGCTATTAGCTTTATAGCACTGTTGCCGAATGCATTTTCGTTAGGCTATCGGTTCAATTCGAATATTCGATCATAATTTTCTTCGCCCCCATGTATGTCGTTCTATTCTCATTTTGTATTCAAATACAATTCGAATTAGTCCTTAGCTACATACGACATGTGTGCAAATTCTCGAAGAATAGACATACACATTTTATGTACCAAACAATATTTTGAATATACTGTTGCACATACATATTTACAAATGGTACACTGAGAAAAAATAATTCATTTAAAATAAAGTTAATTTAGTTCTTATATATATTTTTTTTTCAATGAGGAGTATACGTATTTAAATTAAACATATTGAAAAAAATGAAGACAATTAAATTAAATTAGTCAAATGAACAATTTTCTTTCTCAATAAAACGTTGGAAACTTGTATAAGTGTCAGAAGCTGCGATTGCAATTGCTATACAAACAGTCTTGTAATATATTGAGGTAGTATTTTTTTATCAGAAAATATTGAAAAATAAATTGGAATAATTAAATTTTAGATGACAAGCTTATTTTTGCGGAATAAATTATAAAATAAATAAAAGAACAAATGCTTTACAAAGTAAATGTTTTACAGATAGCTCACGCATCCAAGATTTGCAGAGAAGGGAGTTTAACGCCACACTAATTTGCTCTCACCTCAAAGGCATTTGATGCTATTATACGATCGATACTGACAGCGTACTAATTATGTCATGTAACGGTTATGGCAGACAGAGAATTAAAAACGTTTTTGAGTGGGGTAATCATAGCGACATCATAATAATATTATTGCTACATAATTATAAGTCGGCAGAATCAGATTATATTCTCTTTAAGGGGTCTAAAGTCGTCTGTATTACCGATTCAGTAGGACTTACATACGATTTACGTGTCATTGACATATCATTACACAAGTACACACTGCTACATCAATATCACGCACACATACGTACAAATTTTCCAATTATAACTAATCTTTTATATGAAGCGTCTAAGCCTAATTCTAAGAACACAATATTGTTTGTTTCATATAATCCGTAGTCCAAAGATTATTTTATACGTACAAAGTATAGAACTCGTATAGAAAGCAAATATTGTTGCAAGTCGACGTCAGAAGTCGATAACAAAACTTTAATTTTCTTTTTTTCGTTTTTTACATAAAATCGACTGGTTTGGACTACATTATCTCTTATATTTTAATTGTGGAGGATTTTTAAATCTGTATATATAAAGCAGTTAAAAAAATATTTATTTGAAAAACAATCGATAAAACAGACGACTTTAAGATCGCCTTAAAAACCACTGAAAGAGCATAAAAAAAGCAGAAGAAAACGATAAAGCATATAATTTCTGAATATCCATTCTTGAATTGCTCTGTAACTTGGTACTCTAATAACAAACGTGGTTATAGTTCAAAGTTTAAGAGCCCTCGTTTTGTATCATGCTGTACGAAAAAGACTCGACGACAATTGTAAATCTTTATGAAGCAGTTAATAAGCGTTTTTAATTAAGTGCCACCAGCAAGGGGACTGGAAAGTAATAATGTCGACGACAATGAATGTACTAAAGAAAAAAGAATTCGTCGATTCACCCGCGCGTATACTCTGCGTGTAAATGGGAGTAAATTAGCGATGTTGAGATGAGACATTCTTCTCTTTTTCAGTAAACACTTTTTACTTCAATTCATTTTTTATTTAGATGTAATATCTCCAAATGGAACTTTCGATGCAGATACGAGGTCTAAATAGAAACACAATTTGCTTCTTCGATCAACACGTAATTTCGCAAAAGCTCGTTAATGAATTCGCGGCTCGGCTTTCAGAGGATGAGTCTCGTGGTGGTCATTTCCTCCGGTGGACTATATCGATCCCGTATGCATCTCGAAAGGGGTGCATGCTCTGGCACGTGACAATACGGCGCGTTAATCATACGAATGAATTCCTCTCCACGCTTTGAATTCCATGACCCACGCGCGAACGGGTAATGAAATTGCCGCTCATGCTCGCGACATGAGTGTTCACGGTTTGAATTATAATCGACGGAATCGATGGAAACATTAGAAAGAAAAATAATAACATTACGATGGTTCTCGCTGGAACGGAGGTGCTAAATGATGTGCAAAAGTCTTCGAGCAAAAGCTTAGTGTGTGTGAATCGATTGTGAAAAAACGAACGAAGTCGAAAATTGATATATTCGGGCAAGACTTTAACCCAATGAGTAGAATGTCTAAAATCGATGCATAAAAAATTTTAAGATATCTTTCAGAATTCTTTATGAAATATCATAAAGATGTTTCTTAAAGATATTTTAAAGTTGTCTTATGCGTCGATTTTAGACATTTTGCTCATTGGGAACTTATACGAAATATTTTTTATGTAAGACTTATCTTTTGTTTCCTATCACGAATATTCGAAAGTAGATTCAAGATTAAATTTATTAATATCATAAATTTATGTACTGAAAGAATTCATTGTCAGACCTCTCACAATCAGTTCTTGGACATATTAGCAATGTAAGACGTAACTTGTTTCTAAATTTATGTAAAATTTTATCTTAGTAAATAAATTTCTAAACTGCATATGACGGATTCGAAGGTTTCTCTCTACAAATGCATATATATGCTACCGACACCGTTAAATCATGGATGACGTAAATCGTTAGAGGGAAGTGCACTTTAACTCTCGATGGTCTCAATAGCCGCTAATGCAATTGCCACCAAATTTGATGAGAAACGTCGCGTTCGTTTAATTCCATAGGAATTGTCATCTCGTCAATCACAGACGAGACAATCTCGCACGTTTCAATTGAGAATGGCTGAAAGATAACCATCGATCATAAAAAGTATTTTGGATTATTTATAACATACTAGCGTAGCGTCACAGAAACGTAATATATTTTTAGATAATATGTAAATAAGTGTATGCAATACAGATACAGAGAAGCTGACGCGCACGTGAAATATTATTTTTCACTCGAGTAATCAAAACACATCGATCACTTTGCGCATGAGAATTGAGAACCTGTATTAATGCTCGCAATTTTTATGTAATCGCTGTGTAAAGCGACACGAGATTCTTTACTTAGGATTAAATCCCTTAATTCTTCAGATAGATGCGACTTCGTTACGAGGATTCTTAATTGCTCTCCATCGTTATCTCACAACAAACAGTTTCTTTCTGTGTATTTTTCTATTTTCTTCTTCCCTTCAATTATCTGCTTAAGCCATGTACAACCGTCGTCATAGCGCAGCCATTTAAGTGGATAAAGACATTGTGTAGCGCAATTCGTAGACTTCCATCAGCGATTTAAATCAATTTTGTACCAACCTCATAAATCCTGTTCCTGCAATCTCTTCTTTTTGAATCGTATTTTTTATCGCTCGTCGTTATAAAAAATCATAAATCTGATCTGTTGATCTTTTCAATTATTATAATATGTTCCTGTAATTTGTCTTTAATGTGATCAGTAATTCATATGTTAATTAGTGTAGATGTAGCTATAAAACGATGTAGTATTCTTTATCATAGAATTCACAAGAATTTAATCAACAAAAGGTTTTTCGTGATTATAATAGGTCTATTATGCGCGAATTAACATGCGTTTGATTGAAGCAATATTATCCATACATTATCGCGAATTCAACCGATACAATAGTGTGTAATTATTCGATCTGTAGGTAATTATACAGGAATAGTTTCTCTTGAAAAGAATAATTATAAATAAGATCGAATAATAAGAAATCGATGCGTTTGTATTTGATTAACTTGAATTGTTAATATATATTCTGGAATATATGGTACAGTAAATTGATAAAATTATGTCTGCCCGAAATGTTCGAAGAGAGTGATTTTTAATAGAAATTCGCCTACGCTGCCAAACTTCTCGGAATTTATCAAGCGGAAAGAATGCCAAACCACTCGAGTAAAATCATTGTGTTTGTATCTGTCCGGGATAATAGTATATTTACATACCACCGCATCCTCGAGGAATAACTCGATCCCCAAGTAATTCAAGACGTTCATTGATTTTTTTTTGTTTGATTATTTTTCTATGTTTAATTTTTCTATGATTGCAGAATGGCAAATTAATAATTAAAAATTTGGGAATTATATTAAGGGAATTATATAAGAAAAAATAAAATTACAATTATCTATCACAGTGCTATATCATAGAAATCAAATAGTCTGCCTAATGATGAATAATATAAGGAAATTTTTTTATTGATCTTTTATATACTAATAGTATATACACTTGCATAAATATTCTGTTATTTTTAAATTTTAGGTTTAGTTAAGCTCGGCGTACATTGTGTGTTGGGCAAGAAGGTGGCAATCAAGATTATCAACCGCGAAAAGCTTTCGGAGTCTGTGTTGATGAAAGTGGAGCGTGAGATCGCCATTATGAAATTAATCGATCATCCGCACGTGCTCGGGCTCTCAGATGTATATGAAAACAAGAAATATCTGTAAGTACATTGATAAAAATGTCAAATTTTAAAGTTAATGAAGACAAAACATCACGTTTTATAAATTTTTTTAAGATATCTTGTTCTGGAACACGTCTCAGGCGGGGAGCTGTTCGATTATTTGGTTAAAAAGAGCAGACTGACCCCGAAAGAAGCGAGGAGATTTTTTCGACAAATAATTTCTGCATTAGATTTTTGCCACAGTCATAGTATATGGTGAGTCGCGTGTATTATCGCTTATGATTGTCTGTATAAAAAAATACTTTAAAAAGACTTAATCGTTTGATTTTTGTTATCACTTTTAGCCATAGAGATTTGAAGCCTGAGAACTTGTTGCTGGACGAGAAGAATAACATTAAGATAGCAGATTTCGGAATGGCGTCTTTACAACCCGCGGGCTCTATGCTGGAGACCAGTTGCGGATCACCTCATTACGCCTGCCCCGAAGTCATTAGGGTAAGAGCCCTCAATTACAATCAATTTGCGATATCAAATTACGCAGAAATATTAAGCGAGTAATAGCTACTTGAGTTCAACGTCATAAAATGACGTTTGCTTCCTTTTAATAGGGTGAAAAGTACGACGGTAGAAAAGCAGATGTATGGTCTTGTGGGGTAATACTTTACGCGCTTCTGGTAGGCGCTTTACCTTTCGACGACGACAATCTGAGAAAATTGTTGGAGAAAGTTAAGCGCGGATTGTTTTACATACCACATTTTGTACCGCCCGAGTGTCAGAATTTGCTCAGAGGTATGATTGAAGTTGATCCCGAGAAAAGATTGACGGTGAGCTCTTTTCTGTTTCTTTTTAAATTACAATATTCTCTCTCTCTCTCTCTCTCTCTCTCTTTAAACATATTAACATCAGATATATTTACAAACGCTAAGACTTTTCTAATAAATAAATGTAAATTTTTTTTAGTTATCAGAAATAAATAGGCATATTTGGGTAACGGCGGCAGGTAAGGGCGAGTTGGAATTAGAACTGTCGATGATGGACGTGGTGCAGACGCACGTTATTCCGTCCGTGGAAGCAATCGATCCCGACGTGCTACAAGCGATCGCAAGTCTTGGTTGCTTCAAGGAGCGCGACAAACTCATTCAAGAACTGCTCAGTCCAAAGTAAGATACAATACTCCTCTCTCGTAGAAAGACTTTGAATTTAGTTTCTGTTAAGTGTTGGAAAAATATTGAGAAAAGCAACTGAAGAATCTGACGCACCAATATTCTCTCAGCCACAATACGGAGAAGGTGATATACTTCCTACTGCTAGAGAGGAAGCGAAGAAGACCGGCGTGTGAGGACGAGCTCGAGGTAATGAGGAGTAGCATGAGAGGATCCGCGGGACAATTAGAGGCCGATCCGCCGAGAAAACGGGTGGACACATGTAGAGTGAACGGAAGTACCGCGCTCAATCTTGGACAAATCAGTCATGGCTCGCCTTTGACGCCTAGAAGGCAGTCTAGGTAAATAAGCGTGAATTTTAATAAAGAGAAGTAAAAACGTCACAAGTCGTTTTTATATTCTTATTGTGTGAAGAACAAAGTCAAGAATACCCGCGTGTTTTGCCGATAAAATTAACATGCCAACTGTACTCAACGAAAACGTTCAGTGTAAAGATAGGCAGCTGTGCGGTTCGCTTCAAACTGGCCTGCAGCAATCGCGTGACAGCGTCAGTTTTCCGCACATGTCGCGTGCACCCTATCACGTGTCTCCCCATGTTATTTTTTTCTCCCTTTTTTCGTCGATTCGTCCTGCATTTACAAGCTTGAACTCGCGTCAGATGCGATTATCGAATTACATTTCAATTTGTTTCTTTCGTTCGATTAAATACCAAAAAAAAACAAATTTTAATTGATGCGTCTAATTTTTTTCGTGTACAATTCGCGATTCCTTATTTAGATCGCTAATTATTTGCAGCACGAGACATCACGCGCGTCGATCACCAAGCACAGGTGGATGCCACACTCATGCGTCTCATTCGCACACGTCAACGCCAGGCAACTCACCGTTGCATGCACCTGCAGGTCTCCTAAGTCCTCACAGAGCAATGCCGGCGTCACACATGGGCCAGACAATTACCTGCGGTGCACACAGACTGTCCCTTGGTGGCAGTACCACCCTCACCGGAAATGGTGGTAGCCCCACGAGTCAAAGTGTCCCGATGCCGACGCCGGCGCTTGCCAATGTCGGTATTGAACTCAATGAAGTGCAGCCAGGTAAGTTTAGTATTCTTAAAAAAATAATATATCAGGTGTTTAGTCTCTACAAAAAGTGGAAAAGTTGGAATTGGAAATTTATACTTTCCGTATATAAAATGAATGTTACATATATTATATATGAACCGGTTCGATAAAATCAATACTTCTATTTAAAATATAATTTTATTGTGTAAATTTCTCATTTTATCTTAATTATTTTTTAAAAACATGTTTACTTCTTATTAAAATAATTTTTGATCCAGGTCCTAAAACGCTGTCAAATTTTTTGTATCAATTTCAAATGCAATACAGAAAAATCTTTTTTTGAAACTGCGTTCTTCAAACGTGTTCAAATTTTGATCATTTTATATAAATGTGTGTATGTGCGTGCACAGACGCAGTGGATTACGTATAGTAAAAGCTATATTGTACAACACTGATTATCACTTAGGTTAACCGCTGCTCTTAGACCACTATCCCGTAAGCACGGCAGATCGTATTACGTTAAGTGTTCTCGTATTTATCACATAACCGTGAGATTGTGTATTAATGTTTAAACACAATACTCGGTGTGATCACGTAGATTAAAATCTTATATTTTATCAAACGTTATTCTAATATATAGGACTCGTACTGTAATTAAACGAAATTGCGTAATAAATTTGCCTCACACAACCCAGGTAGAACACGAAGTCATAATTAAGTCATAATGGTATCACAGAACGTCATCATGACGTCATTTGATACCTAAAAATTGACTTATAAGTGACGAATAAGGTCGTGATGATGTCCTCATGACTTCTGTGTTCTACTTGGGAATAGGCTTTCTTGATATTTCGATCAATCGTGTAATGATCATATTTACTTTGAACAAAAATTTTGGAAGGTAACTAATTAATTACGGAAAGAGAAGAAATAAGCTAACATTTTAACTTTTTAGATAAGTCAAGTACATATATATATTTTTAAGATATAGCTCATTTCTCAGTAGTTGCGGTCGGCGTTACACCGCCGGGGTCGCCTCACACGGGAGCGGGATCTGGAGCTCATCACTGGAGATCGCGATTAACCACGATCAAGAATTCTTTCCTGGGTAGTCCCAGGTTTCATCGTCGTAAATTGCTCACTAGTACCGAGGAGGTATGCGGTAATAGATAAAGATATACTTTATTTCTTTTCATTATATAAAATTATTTAACATTATGTAATATTATTTTATATTCTATCAATGTATGGAGTTATTATCGAATATTGTATTTCTTTGATCAGTAATCTAATTTTTTCTTCTTAACAAAATTAAAGAATGACGATGGATGTTTAATAAAATTCTTTTGAAAAAAGATTAGTTTGAAAGTTCAACACAGTATAACTATTATTTATGATAATTCTAACGTTGCGTTTATCATCAAGTTTCCGTTGCATATAGGTACATCTCACGCCGGATTCTTCGCCGGAACTTACAAAAAAATCATGGTTCGGTAGTTTGATGACTACGGAGAAAGATGAAACCTTCACCGTTTTAGTTAAAGGAAAACCGCTAGCCAGTGTAAAAGCCGATCTAATTCACGCCTTTTTATCGGTAAGTGTACCAAAATTTATTGTCGATTTTGGTATAAATCGCAAATAAAAGCGACTATTATCTATTTAAAATAATACTTACGTTTACGAGAATTATAATCACCAGCAAAATACTCGACAAAATTCGTTAAAACATTCATTAAAAATCTCTAATAGATTTAAAGAAATTTAATAAGTTATAATTATACGTCCATATATAACTTTCAGAATTCTTTCTGTTAGAATTTTTATTAGAACTTCTATATCAATTTGATTGACCTCTCTGACATATTCAATTTGAAACAAACTGAACGCTTACAGATAGCAGAATTATCTCATAGCGTGAGCTCGCCAATGTCGTTCAGAGTGGAGTACAAAAGAGGTAGCACCGCACCAGCCATGTTCCAGAGACAAGTGCGATTTCAAGTTGACATTAGCGCAATTTCGAAGCAGCCGAATGAGCCCCTCTTCGCCATTACCTTTACATTATTGAGCGGTAAGCACACAGTCGCGTTCTGACGATTTTTCCTTCGGTTAGAAAAATTAGAATCTTTGCTATTCTTAAATCAAATATGGCATAAAAATCAAAGAAACAAAAAATGTTGACTGAAGCGTTCTTCGACAAGTACGAAGCCCTCGCGAAAGTACGCTTGTATAGTGGATCGCCTCGCTCTTTTGCGTTTGGCAATCATCCAAGCGCAACTAGATCGATGTTACCTTGGCACGTACAGCTAATATATACATATAATTTTATGTCTACCCACATATGTATATTCTACATTCGGTCTGTCGACGCGATAGAGTCTGGCCTTTTTTCTGATGAAGCTTCTTACAACCGATAAGAACATGCCGTAGTCACTCGGGCTCATAAATTCAATTTGTCAGAAGCACGCTACATAAAATCCAATATTTTAATAAATAAAAGCAATCTTTAATCGAAGCACAATTCAAACGCTAATTTTCAAGGAAGTCATATTAATTCTTAACTTGATGATAATCCTGTATACGATTTTCAAATTCTTCTCAAAAAATTAGATATTATTGAATTAAGGAGTCGTCAGACAATGAAGTCAATTTGATATTCGCAGGAAACATTCGAAGATTCAGGCGAGTATGCGAACATATCCAGTCTCAGGTGTGTTCAAGAAATGTGAGTATGAACTTGGGAGGACAAAGCAGAGCCGCGCCGCCTAGTCCGAGGGCCTCCAGAAAGTTCACCACAGAGATGAGCGAGAGTTCCAGCTGTGGCAGCGATACCAGTGAACGACTATTTCTTAATCCTCACCCAGCTACCAGACAGGTAGTCTGTTTCAATAAGGTAGCGCATCATCCCTATCATCTTTATTTTCGTTATCATCGTCATAATAATTAGATACCACTTCTGGAATGTCTATTTTATTGAAATCTTAAACGAAAATTTTTTCATCGAGATAGTTTCATAAAACCACGTCATTTCTTTCTCATTCATAATCTAGATTGACGTTATCTAAGTTGTCATTTATTCTACATAAATAATTTCAATAAACCGCTTTTTTTAAATGTAATTAATAAAAAATTCAGAGTTTTTTCAATTTTGTTTAAAGCTATTGTAGAAATTTGTGTACGCGAATATTGGAAGAGCGACTTTGTGTCATCACCAATTAATAGAGTATCATATCGGTTTTAGATCGATTCGGACATCGAATCGGATACGTCTGTATTTGACGTGAAATCGCCGACCCGCGAGAACGGTAGAAGAAGTTCGACGTCGACGAATAATAACAATGCCCTGTCGGGCGATACAACACCAACGCCGGGCAGCCCGCCAAAAGCGGTTCGAAGTAACTCGGAGAGTCAAAATACGCCTGAGAAGAAATGCGTGACCACGATGAGCGGCAACAACATAGCGTGATACTACCAGAATCTTCGCTTCGAGTTCCGTTCAAGTCTAAAGAGCCTATGGGACAGCGCTCAGAGATTCTGGTGAGGTTTCCTCTGACGAACGCTTCTAACGCTTTAAAAGAACTGCAGAATGCGTGAGACACATCTATATGCGTAATACAATATTGCAACAAACAAAATTGAGGTCTAACATCGTGAATCATATCGTCAGCATTAATAGCGAGAAAATAGAGAGGTAACAGTGATGATAATACATTTATTAAATTTGCATTGTGTAATTCGAAACATCGAAACCTTTAGTGCGAGCTCCCTTCATTCTCAAAATTCAAAAATATTTAATTTTGTTTCGAACGATACGTGCGTAAAATATTTTCCTCAAACAACTCAAAATTAAAATGCTAGAAGAAATATTAAATGAGACATTAAATACAATTATTGTAGTCTGTGTTTATAAGATAAATAAATTTCGAGAGAGACGTTTCCAAATTGTCTCCAGATAAAACCGCCGAATGGCATATATATTTCAACAAATAAGCCTACATAAAAAATTACACGAAGAGGAAATTTCATGATTATACACAAGAAGAGAAATGTAAAGTATATTAAAAAAAATATGTTTCGTGCGAAACTTAAGTACAATAATGTAATGTTACTGTATTATTTCGCCCCCCACGTATAATGAATGTCACTGCAAAATTGCGTCGCGCTGTGTTTGTGTTAATGAATGGCACTTTTGGACACATTTTATTCATTAATTATAGAAAAGACACAAACACTGTTGCTTGGAGAGTATTACGTTATTACCCCCATACATTACAAATTATTCGTTTTGTGAATTATAATTTTTATTTACTTCTTTGTTCGCTTGTTATATAATTTTTTTTATTTGTAGCTTCATTATATCAATCTTCTCATAGCGATCTGTCCAAACTAACCACATACATTTCAACATCCAACTACATTAACACAATCTGGTGCGAAAAATGTCCCGAGAATTTTATTTTTTCACACACGACGGAGAAGAAGGATAGATACAGAGAAAGAGAGGGACAGAGAAAGGTTTCCGATTTTAAAAGATAATAATAAATATACACGCAAGTCTCACGATCGTACGAAGCGTAGATATTCGTTTGCTTCTCACAAGAAGAAAAGCAAAGGACAGTGAAGTCGATGATGACATGCAAAACCCGCCGCGAAGCGATTGAGGGCTAACGCGTTGCTGAATGTATAACTCATATAGAAAAAAAAAATATATATATATAAAAGCAGTAAGAGCTGCACTTCCCTAAGCGATATAAAGAATAAGTAGTTTTATCATAAAGTTATTCTCAACACAGACATATCTCGAGATTGTCCCTATTGGCTTCTTAGTAGAAAGCGATATAAGGTGTATAAATGCGCGTTTAGCATCGTTTTTAAACGAAGATTTGTTACATAAGGCTGCATCGTGATATATGTTTACGAAGAAAAGAGGAAAGACTAGACAAAGTTACGGAGGAAATAGCGAGCGTTGAGCGCCCGAATATTCTCAGAGATCAATATCTTGGAATCGATTGATTTTTTGAGAATGTAATGCGGAAAAGAAATTATCCTCGATAATCCAATAATCTTCAAAGTTTACACGATTAGGATTAGATTAATAGGTGAGAGCGAAAGTGCATAAACGTTCGCACAAATCAAAATTGTGACTTTTTTTTTAGTGCACATTGGATCTCCCGATAGGCGCTCTCGCTTCAGATATTACCTACGTATTATATCGCGCATGTGGCGACTCGTTCCTATATATAAATGTCCGAGGGCTATATCTTTATAATCGATTAACGGTACGTAAAAAAAAAACAACTAACGATCTACTCTTTCCGTTGCATTTTGGAGTAGCAAAATTCCGCGAGACGCAAAACGCGGTGGTGTTTTTCGGCTAAAGGCTCAGCTAACGGCAGACGCATCGTCATTCCGCATTATTAAGCAGAATGCAATATTGTAAAAGAGATTTAGCTGGACACGTGTCGAAAATATTATTCCGATGAAAAATGCGTGGGTGAAATTTTATAAAAAGTCGTTAATCCTTAACTATTTTCAATTTTTATAGTCGCTCGTATTATTAGTGATGTATAGACGTTTATTAACTTTTTGAGGGACTAACAAGAGAGAGAATTAGAATATTATTTACATATATGCAAACACCAAATTATATAGATAAAATGTAAATATTTTCCTTTTTCTCCATCGCTTTCCAAAAATACAATAATTCTTTTTGATTGCCGTAAGAATAAATCATTCAATATGGGATATAAAGAGAGAACAAACATTAATTAATATCAGTAGTTAAAGATTCGAATAAATTATCCACGAGATTGTCGTTTGATGATCATAGGACAATTATATCGAGAAGAACAGAGACGGATGTCATTACTCGAATATAAATGAGATTAATCCGATGAAAAAGCCTTTGTTATCTTTCGTGCGCATAACTCGCAAAAAGAATGACGGTATTCTCTGAAATCGCTTAATGACGTAAATTAATTTTCTCTGTTTAATAATTTTACGCTAAGAAATCGGACTGTGCATGAAATTGATTACGAGAATGAAAATAATAGAGAAAGAGAAAGAGAGAGCATGTGAGCGTGCGTTTGCATGTATGAGAAAAAAAAAGGAAAGAATGAAAGTTCTTGTTACATATTAGAAGATGAATGTGAATTTAGTACTATCAATACAAACACACACATACACACGTACCACTACATATAACTAAAATTATCATAAGCTTGCAATTATCTATTTACTAATTGCGGTTAAATATAAAACTACTCATACAGTGCGTAAGTATATTATAATAACAAAATAGGAGGAGAAAGAGAGAGAGAGAGAGAGAGAGAGAGAGAGAGAGAGAAATAGTGGGTGGACGGACGTGGTTACAGAGAAAAAGAGAAAGAGGATGTAAAACAAATTACCGGCCATATTAAATTAGGATTTTATATTGTGCGAGTCTGTGAATGTAAGTGGAGGAGAATTAAAATAACTTCGATATGCAAATCTATATTAGCAATTCAAGCAAATTACACAGTACAGTTTCGCGTGTGAGGATAATATAAATTGATAAATTTCAGACAAATCTCGAGAAAAAAAATCTCTGTTTTCTGTCTCGTAAAAGGCAACCTGATGGAAATCCGCGTGATATTTTCGTAGATCGAGCCAGAGCAACAGAGCGATACTTTGCGAATATAGATAGGAGTGCGTTGTATCGATCCTCGACAAAATCTCGCCGATAGCTGTGCCGCTGACGTAACATCGTTAAATCTCTTGTACGAAGGAAAGAACAGAAGATTACTCGCTATCTCTCACGTGTCTCCGACTTATTTTTCGATTCGCTTTTGCGCGCTGCGAGACGCCGCGATCTAGCGTGCGAGCGATCACGTGATCGGTTCTCGTGTACGCGAGATGATTGTTATCCGCCCGAAGAATTTGCTTAATAGCGGTGACGTAGCACGAACACGAATATCGATTGCGTGTCACTGTACAGCCAAATGCGATTTTGAGACTTGCAATTTATTCAGTCGAACGACAAAGTCGTTCAAAGGATACCTTCTTCGCGAGATGATTTATATAATGAATTCAGTCACTCGCACTGCATTGGATTATTATACATTAAAGGCTGCTTTATATAAAATAACTAATACAGTAGCGTTATAATCAACCGTGACAATTAAATAATATATTTAATTGTAGCATATTTTTTTATTTTTTAGCTCTTAAACGTCTTTTCGATATAACACACCTTTAATTTCTTTTTCCATTGCTTATAACTTTTTCATTAATAAAGGTACGTATTGAGGTACTGCTGAATATCCGTACTATTACATTCTTTAATGTCTAGCGTTTTGATTGAAAAAAATTGTTTACAATACGTTAATTTTTATGAAAGTTATAAGCAATCGAATTGGATTAGATAGCGGCGTTCAGTAGTGCGACGTTTGAGGGTTAAATAATGTGTGACGATATCATTATTGAGCATTTAAAATATTTACATGCTTTTACATTTAACTTTGCTAATTTCATTGTACAGCAGCTTTTAGTACGCACTAATCTAGTATAATGCAAGTGACCGCTATAAGTTTCGGATCCATCTCTTCACGTCGTGTTCGCGCCGATCTTTTTGCTGGATGACCAAATATTAAAAATATTAATCGTTAAGAGAACCGAATCGGCAATGATAACGAGCGAACGTACCCGATAGCTTGGAGCTCGCGCGCAGATCGTAAGAAAATTGTCTCGCCGCAAGAGAGGCGCGCAGGTCTGCAGGCATTATACAAATTCCCGACGTATCGTACTCGTAAGGCATTATAAGCTAGGTTGAATATAGAAAATTTTTATACAATTTATAAGATAATGCAATTTGCGCAATGCGATCGATTAATTTATTATTCACGCACGTTTCCTTGTTGGCGTTTTTGTTAATTAAATGTGAACTATATTTTTGTCATTCGGGGCGTGAATCCCGCGGCTATCCCGCTAACAATGAGTTTCGCGAGTTCCGTCGCGATCGAAACGTGTCGGGCGACAGTGGTACGCTCCTCTGAGTTCTAAACATTATTTTCCCTCAAATTAAATTTGTATTTAATTATGTTGTAAATAATTCGCGGAACAGAAAATCATGGAAAGATTCTCGCTCTCTTTGTTCAGTCTTACGTATTTAATACATATAGCATAAGTATAATGTCGATGCAATCTCTCTAAACTCTTTGGAGTGAAATTTCACTCTTAGAAATCTGACGAATGAACCACTCTTTTTCAACACCGGCTCAATTGTCACTCTTTAGAATTAGATTCCATTCCAAAAATTTTAGAGAGAATATAGGACTCAGAGGGAAATAAGAAAATGACGACGGAATTGCGCGGGTCGCCGCGACGTGCCTCGTGTCGTCCTCGTATTTCTCGAGGACGCGTCTTATCTATTATGTAAGATAGCTCTTGTCCAATTGAAAAATTCCGCGTGGTTTATTATTATCATGTGTGTGCTTCTCCCTATATCGCGCATTCATATAATAATATTTATCGTGCGTCTTTCGCGATCTCTCGGCGCGAGCGTCGCGCCTATCGTGTGTGTGTATATCTATCTCTTTGACTGTCACTTTAATTTTTCGTAGCCGTGACAAACGACGAGGTCCAATTAGTTTTAGCCAAGGTTTAGTAAAAGCGCGGAAAAAAATAAAAACTCGCGAATATTCGTGATATCGAAGTTAAAATCTGAACAACAAGAATGTCTAATGCCTGTATTCATAGTCAGACCTTGTACTTGATATT